AATAATAAGAGTTTCCAAATATACAAAGTATTCCTAATTTAATATTAGGCTATTACATTTGTATGCATTAAAGAGTAAATAGAGATTACCGTAAATTCATAATCATTTCATTTCCGAGTTCACTCTAAACTTGTGTAGTATTTGATTTTATCATATCTTACTGTCTCTATTTTGATCTATTCCAAACGTTTTATAGCTCGTGAATAAATCTATCGATCAAGTATCGATCAGTCTTCGTTTGCTTTTTCTTTTCTTTTCCCCTTTTCTTTTTCTCTATCAATACTCCCTCTGTGGACAGATAACTTGTCCCTAGAGGACAAACAAGTGTACAAAAAATGTACATATTTTGTGTACCCGACCCATTTTCTACTCTTATAACCACTCCACTAAGGCCAACTGTTTCATAGGATGTATAAATAACTTTGACTGTACACACTATGCCCGGAACGTTTGGCAATGTGCGAAGCTTACTGGCGAAACTTTTACTGTTCTGAGTACTTTGCATCAACTTTCCACTTTATGAATTTACGTGCATTCCCAATGTTAGTTCCAAAAGGTTGAATCGCCAACCCCAAGCGCCCCCCCCCCCCCCCCCCCGCCCCAATGTTATTGCTTACCTGAGAAGGAACAACATTATATTGAAGTGAAGGTGTTAATAATAATGCTAGTTATATTACTTCCTATGTCCCGTAATAAACTTCACACAGATTAAGAAAATAAATTTGACTTTAATGTGGAGTGCACTATTTTGCACTGTTCAAACACTGTTTGACACTGTTTGGAGAACAATATTTACGTAGTATTGTTATATGGCTAAATGCCCTAAATTGTGGACTGACTGGAAATTGATCAAAACAATTGTTCATTTTACATCTCATAAATACCTGTTTCTTGAGCCTCACACTCTGAACCTCTGAAAGTTGATGGCTGCATTAATGGGAAGTAGGTCTTAAGTGCAGGGGTGATGGTAGGTTTGAATCATGATTTTCCTATATACTCCCTCCGTCCCTTAAAAGTTTGCCATGTTTGACCGGCACGTAGAATAATAAAGTAAAAACTGTGTGGTAGAAATTTGTGCAGAGGAGAGAGAAATAACATGAGCCACAAATTGATTGATTAAAAGAGAAAGTGGCAAAGTTTTTGGGACAGCCAAAAAAGGAAAGTTGGCAAAGTTATAAGGGACGGAGGGAGTATCTACTTCCTAATAAATTAATACTTTAAAGTTCATATATAATTTTCAATCATTATGTATAGATATTTTTCTGAACCACACCTGTGTTTTGATCTTTTACCAAATCTTTAATTTGACTACTCTTACAACTCATTAATGCCCTTGAGCCACGCACTCGGAAACACTGGAAGTTGATAGCTGCATTAATTGCAAGCAGCTCTTCAGTACAGTGGTGCTGGTAGGTTGATTCATGAGTTTCCTATGTACCTACTTTGTAATTCATTAGTAATTTAAAGTTTACATTTAAATTTAAATCGTAGATATTTTTCGAAACCACATATTTATTATCGGAAATTTTTACGAAATCTTTATACATTTACAGAATTTTTTAAAGAAATTTCAAAAAACAATTATGCACAAATTTTGCATTAGTTTTCACACATGGCCTTTGGGAACCTAGGTTATCGAAATCCAAAATACCTGGGCTACCTTATTCTGGCCAAAATACATGTGCTCAAATTCTCAAGTGCAACCATGTACATCTCTAATTTTTTTATCCACTTAATGTCATATATGTCTCTAAATACTGTATCCCTCATAAAGGTAATTTTTAAGTCCATATTTAATATTACCTAGTTACTTTAAAGAATTCCGAAACAGGTTTTCATATATTTTACCCGAACTACATGGTTTCAACTTCGAGCTTGTGAAGTGCATTTTAAAATTAAGACACTTCAATCTAATTTGAGCAAATATTATTTAAACATGTATATATATATAGATATATAGATATTAGTTTGTTTTTAGAATACATACATATAGAAAAAAATGTACTTCTCTCATTTTCGCAGGCCATTTTAATTTCATTTTTCATTTTACAAACTTGATTTCAGTACTTTAATTTTTTTTAAACATATGTTGAAATTTAAACAACTTTTTTAACCTGTTTTGATCAATAAGTCAGGAATGTTTTTTTTAAATGTGTAAGATAACATCTATATCATTAATTACTTAAAATGTTTGTGGTCTTATTCCCTAAACAACTTATGCTGTTTGCAGGTATTGCACCATTCTTGATTCATGTGAAAGCTTTGGCTTAGATTTCTGACTTAGAAAATTGTTTAGGGATAGATCAGGGACCTTAGAGGGTTGCCAATAATGTAATATATTATTGTTGTTTGTAATATTAATTAGTCCAAATAGGAAATGCAGGTTGTGCTCTACAGATGTTCAGGTACGTACTCCATTCACCAACTCACTTACCATTTTATTTCTATTCTTTCTTGACAGTTGTAACTCATAAACGTGTATTCATATGAAATATTTTAAAACCATTAAAACCAATATCGCTTTTCCATTAAAACCATTGCCTTACAACAATAGAAATATTTACATTTTCAACTAAATATAAATCATGCTTAGTGCCTCCTAGATCCCTTTAGTGGACTTTAAAGGGTCCATTGTCTTTGACCTTAGCCTCATCCTTACGTACTCCCATGACCTGAAAATAAAATTACATAGGAGCTGCAGACAGTCATTTATAAACATTGAAGTAATATTTTTAAACCTGTTCTCACCAACTGCTAAAGTGTTTCCTGTGTCCTGCAAAATAAACATATTACAGCATCATATGGATAATACAATCATTCAAAATAGTACTTAGTTTCCAAAGGAGAATTATAGTGTCATGATTAGTTAGTCCTCACTGCGGATAGTAAGACACAGTACTGCCCAAGATAGTGTTTTAGGATCCAATACATAACCACAAAACAAAATATAAGTCCAACGATGCCTTAGTACAAAATATAAGTCCCGACCAACAGACTGGCCCTTGTTCTTCAGAGTGGTTCTTCTTTGATTTTTATCTTCAGCTTCTTCACAGGACCACTTGTAGAGAATTCATCTATCAGATTCCTTTTGAGTTGTCCATCCATTTCCACCTCCACCTCCTTCTGTGTACCGGGGGGGGGGGGGGGGGGGGGGGGGGTGAGTCTGGTAGGTCAATTGCCTCGACCACCTTTTTAAGGAAAAAAATGTAAGAATATTTGTTTAATATATAACCTGACTTATACAAATATATAATTGTATTACAGTCGATATACCTCTTGTTTTTGGACATCTTTCCCTTTTTTCCTCGCTGTAGAACTTTCACCTTTGTTGAGACTTGATCCAATCTAAATTTCAGGTATTGTTCATTATCTTCTATTATACGAAACATATAATTTTACTACGAATCACCCATAAGTCAATTTCTACAAATTACAAAATCATTGAAAATACCTTCTCAGTTGGAGTGTCATGAACTGATTGCTGTTCCTTATCCGTTTCATACAATGCCAGAACCTTAGGGTCTCGTATCATGGTCACCACAGTAAATGACTTTGTTTTCTTGTAGGCATTCTCCTCACTTTTTGTCTTCAGTTGAATTTTAAACATGCCCTTTTAGTCAACCAAACTTTCTATGTCTTCTGGAAATCGAGTTTGGTCTTCAGTTTTCTGTGTTATTCAAACCATTTCCATTAGTCATAAACTTTTTTAATTTTGATAATTTAAAATATAAATTGATATCACGCTTTTGCCTTCTCCATCTCAACCATTAGAAAAGCAGATGTTTTCCAAAAACTTCAATACATTCCCTGTCCCACAAAATGAAGGTTGAATGACCAGTCTGGTCCATGATGCAAATCCTGACTTTGTACCTAAAATGAATGCTCAATCTTTTCAGTGGACTCAATTCATACAAATAATAGCAACATACAATTGCAATTCTCTTACCAATACACCCCGTCTGCCATTGTGACATGGCAATTGGTACACATGAACCTATCATCCTCTGGTTTTAGTTTTTTGTGGCATGTGGGGCAGCCTAGGTAACACCATTCTCTATAGTTTTCAAGAGACACAATGTCTCCGATGATCCAATAAATCCCATCCTGTTTGTAAACACAATATTGACATAAGTGTTGAAAATGTTGTCCCCTAAGAGAATAGGTCATTTGTACACACCTCTGTAGTCTTAACCAATTCCTGAATTGTCGTTATGACAGCCTGTCTCGCAAGGACATCTTCGCGGCTCCCATCACCGTGGGAAGATTGTGAAACAGCTGTGGCTGTGACGCTGTCATCACCATCTGCAGGAAATTGACGTGCACTTTGTCGTGTGTGCACTCAAAATAATTTCAATACTGACACTTAAACGTAGTATAGCGTAGTAGAGTTCGTATCCGCAGGGAAAGGAATAATTCTCTTTTTATGTAACTAGTAATTAAAAGGGGGGTTTTGGGATTGAGTGATTTAATTTAATTAAACACGAAGATGAACGAGTTAATTATGTGGTTTAAATCAAAGATAAAAAGGACTTGGTCTTGCTACTTTCCACTTGTTGATATATTTTAGTCGATCATTGTCATATCTATAACTTAACCCCTCTCGAATACTCAATCAAGGAGTATATCCAATTCATCGAGGGTAGTTATTAACAATGACCGTTCACTAATAACCCTTACTATTAGTCAAGTATAGAACACCGCCATATACCGACTTGATAGTAGCATTTAACCTCTTTAACTCCTTGATGAAATCAATTGATATTGATAACCTCAACACAACAGTTTTGGTTTAACCAACAAAATTAATCCCTCTTAAGTTTATCAACCACGACCGTGCATTAATAAACCGAAGTTACTTACTTGTGAAACCATCAATGATTAACCATCGGTTCGTTGATCGTTTCTAGTAATAATTAATGTCGGAACGTTAACTAATCGTCACTTAGTAACCCTCCAACATTAATATAGAATGAGATTAAGGGAAGAATTAATAATCAAGAGGAGAAAGTAAGAAAATAACTCACAACTTTAATAATCAACAAGCTTCAAGAGCAAAACTAAGAAACGGAAGTTTAGCTCCTCATTTGGAGACTAAACATGCTAAAAGAAATATAAAGAAATGCTATTCTAAACTGAGCTTAAGAGTATAAAGGAATTGGTGCTTTCATTGTGAAGGAAAAGGGGTTTATTTATAGGTGTTTGGAGGTGGCAGGGTTGTGTACCCGATCGGGTATATAGGGTACCCGATCGGGTATTTTAGGCAGTTTCCCGGAAAATCACTTTTCTAGACATACCCGGTCGGGTATGTAGGAATACCCGGTCGGGTATGAGCCAAAAAGTCAAAATCCTGCACGTTCTTTTGTCTCTCCAGATTCTGATTTTGACACCTGAATCAACTCAATACCCGATTGGGTATTGCCTATACCCGACCGGGTATATGAAATATTTTTTCAATCTTCTATTTATCTTGTCCCCTTGCACTTTCCTTGATCTTTTGGGGTCCAAACTTGATCCTCTGGATGATCTTGACCTGTTTTAAGCTCAAAATAATCCTAATCTAAACAAATTACATCTATCTAAGAAAATTAACTAATTACACCAAAAGTGTGTAATTTTCCAAACAACAACAAATAAAACTATTTAAAATAGAAATATTACATAATAAAAATACAACTCTATCAGAAATCTGCATCACAGTGTCCAGTTCATTATGAGTATCAATGTTTATAAGCCCTCATTACAATGCTTACTTTAAAAAAACTTCTTACTCGCTTTGAAATTCAATAAACTCGTTTGAGTTCCCATTGATGATCAGTTTCGACACATCAAATGAAGATGACACAGATAGGGTGCCTGTCATTAGTAATTTTTTTTAGAATCATCCAGTTTTGGCCTAATAGCAGGAGTCAACATCCCTACAAAATGGATTACCTTGGTATCTCTTTGGCCTGCATAGCTGGAAAATTACGTACACAGGCACGCCAACATTCTCTGTCACATACTCCATATACTGGTCTATGTACTTGTTCCACAACACACATCCGAGTCTGTTCCCTCTACAATTTATATAGGTTATTTAACATTAAATATTATTCATGCTCCTTAAACATTGTCTCTTAAGTTAAGATGGTAAGAATATGTTTTAAAAAAACTCACTCAGGATCTCCTAATGTCAACTCCATCATTCTTTCGGTTCTTCCGCTAATGATATGGTTTTGAACGCCGCTCTTACATATGACTTTCCCTATGACATCAATAACCAAATACCAGCATAAGATATTTATTTCTGCTAGTAAAGCGTAAAAGTTTTCTGTTTTTCTCACCAATCAACTTTTTGTCGTTGACGACACGTTGAGCCTGTAGCATGTCAAATGGCTGAAAGTCGTACACCATCATTGGCAACTCTGTCCTAGTGTCTTCGGTGAACTGTGTTTTGCTGATGAATTGAATTAGATAAGGATGGTCACTTGTTTTGACAGTTTGGTAGTTGTCCAGGACCAAAAACGTCCTAAGAGCGTAAATTTTGTTTTCCTTGATCATGGTCTTGTAAACCTCCACTTGTGGCCTTTTTATGATAGCGTGAATGCGGTCTCCCTATATAACAAAATGTGGCAGTGAAAAAAAACAATATAATAATAATATTATGATAATATGATATTATATGTTTTTTATCTAAAAATTTTAATATGTGAATATGTTTTTCTACCTGCTCATCATGCAACACCATCTCTAGTGTACTCCCCCCCCCCCCCTTTTGAGTGAGGTGGGACTTCGTATGCTCTAACCACCCGCCCTCTTAAGGCCCAAGTGGTCTTGGTATGATCCACATCCTTGATCAGGGACCACATGCCTCTTTGTGTTGAGAAACCTGACATAGCTCACAAATTACTTAGAACACTTGACGATTCAGAGAATGTATGAGAGATTAGCTTGGTTGTGTTGTGGTTTCTCAAGCCTGCAATGGGTATTTATATTGGGAAAGGGAGGAAGTGGTGTAGAACAAATTGTGTAATAACCATTGGTAATGTATAAAAGCTAGTACATTGTATTTATTGTTGTGTGGCTCAAGAAAGGCAAATAGAGTAAATGTGTGGCCTGTGAAATTTCAAGTACAATGATCACCTTTTTTTATTACAATTGTAGCAATCCATTCAACAATATTTATTGTTCCAATAAAGTAATTTCTTAAGCCACTAAAACTGCATTGTTCCCTGGGCCAGCATTTAAAACTACTGAGAAGCAAAATACAGATGCAGGCTGACCCGATTTTGGACCCATTTTAACAGGCCCGGCCCATTACTGCACAGTGTTTGGGCGGGAACACTGTGCAGTCTTTATTTTGCTGTTGTATAATAAAAGATATAACTTTTTTATTTGTACTCTGATTGTTACAAAGAATATATCAAAATTCATAACTTTTTATTATCTTTCTAATGACATCAATAATGAATATATAAAAAATATAAACATAATTTAAAACATGTGTTTTTTGAAGTGCTATAACTTTTTTATATATACTCCGATGGTTACAAAAAATATATAACTTTTTATTATATTTCATATAACACTAAAAATAAATATATAGAAATAAAATAATAATTTTACACTTTAAAAATCTAGTTTTTAAAGTGTTATAACTTTTTTATTTGCACTCCGATTTTTACAAAACATATATCACAAATCAATACTTTTTATTATCTTTCACACGACAACAATTTTGCATTTATATAAAATTATTATTTTTTAAATTGTGCAGTTTAGGATTATTTTTACCATGCACAGTATTAATCCGGAGTGATAGCTTAGAATAAAGCTTTACAAATTTGATGAAATTTGTGCAGTTTTATTCTAATCTATCACTCTGGATTATGGGAAATAATAAATTTATCAAACTTTGAAAAGGTGCAATATAAATACTCCAAACTTGCATATGCAATAACCCAATCTATATAAAAAATTATTTTTTCACCGTGATTATATGGTTTTTACAAATATAAACTTACCACAATAAGTACATAATTTAAAATGCTCTACGCTATGTTTGGATGTTGTTAAATAATAATACATCCGATACCATATATTTTTAATTGCATCCTCATAAGTGCTTTATGTATTTTAAACTATTTGCTTAAAACCATAAATTACATTTGTGAAACAATTTTATGATCATGATATCAAATAAGTTTTTATATAAAGATGTGCAAGTTTAGGGTACTTACCTTACACTTTCAAAATTTGGGCTTTTGATTTATTTTGAGTCAATTCCCTAAATAGGACTAAAAAGTGGCAAAATTGCACAAATAGGACTACATTTTTAAATTCCCTTAATAGGACTATTTATATGTGTTTGGACAAATATACCCTTGTAACTTGTGAAATGTTTTAATTAATAATAAAATCATAAAAAAATTAATAAAAATCGAAAAAATACTAAAAATCGTAAAACAATAATAGAAAATTAAAAAAATATTTTTTAAAAAAAATACAAAAAAATATTTTTTTTAAAAAATAAAAAAAAAATAAAAAAAAATCATAAAATAAAAAAAAAACATTACCACCCCTGCCACCCCCAGCACCACCCTCTCCCATCACCGGAGAAAAATATGCCAACATTTTAAATAATGCCATATTCAATGAAAATGTTGGCATATTGAAGAGTAATTATGCCATCTTTTTGGCATTTTCAGAAAAATATGGCATTTTTTTTATCAAAAGTGGAAGAAATTTCACCAATCGGAGGTGGTGGTGCTGGGAGGCGGTGAGAAAGGTATCCATAATGTTTTTCATTTTTTATGGGTTTTTACTATTTTTTATTATTTTTTTAAAAAAATTAAAAAAATAAAAAATTAAATTTTTTTATTTTATAAATGTTTTATAAATTTTTTATAATTTGTTTACGTTTTTTAAATATTTTTTACGTTTTTTATGATTTTATTATGAATTAAAGCATTTCATTATGAATTAATACTTTTAGGGGTATTTAGGGTAGAAAATCAATGTTTAGTCCTATTTAGGGAATTTTAAAAATAGTAGTCCTATTTGTGCTTTTTAGGAACTTATTAGTCCTATTTAGGACAATTTCCGATTTATTTTTACCTGCATAATGGTGTGTACGGTAAAAAACAATCCTAAATTGCACAAATTAGCATAACTATTTTTTTATTTTTATATATGAAACATTGATTGCATATGAAAGATAATAAAAAGTTATTATTTTTGATATTTTTTTGTAGCAATCGAGGAAAAATTAAAAAAATTATAGCACTTTAAAAAGTAGATGTTTCCTATAGTGTTAAATACTTTTGTACCTTTATATATTCAATATTGGTGTCATATAAAAGATAAAAAAAGTTATGATTTTTGATATACTTTTGTAACAATTGGAGAATAACTATTGGAGAACAAATAAAAAAGTTCTATAACTTTAAAAACAAATGCTTTTTAAAGTATTAAATTATTTTTAAATTTTTACATATTCAATATTGATGTCATTTGAAAGATAATAAAAAATTATGAAATTTGATATATTTTCTGTAACAATTGGAGTACATATAAAAAAGTTATAGCATTTTTAAAAAAATATGAGATTTTATTTTGGTAGATCCCAATATAATACGGAGTAGGAGTTAATTTTAATTGAGTAGTACAAACATGAATTGAATTTTTGTATATGAAATACGGAGATAGCAAAGCTTGGATAGAACTATAGATTCCACTATAGATTCCTTTCATTCCAGGACTACGTATTTTTTTCCTTTAAGGAATTTTAAATGTTGTGTACGTGATTTTTTAATTAGAAAAGAGAATTAGTATATTAAGATTAGCTCCTACGGAGGTTTCCCTAATTGTAACACTTCCCTAATTTTTTATTAAGATTTTTTAAGTATATTAATTAGAGCATGACACATGGCAACACTTTCTATAATTGTAACCTTGAATTGTACTCCGTATTATATAGAAAATAAAACCCGAAATAAGGCTAAAAAGATTTGAAAATTCCAAAACAGGACTGTTATATTTTTATTCTCAAAATAAGACTAATTATTGCCATGTTTTGGTAGTACCAGTCTACCAGACTTCAAGCATGGCAGTATTTTCCAAACTTGACATTAATTACTTTTATTTTGGGAATAAAAAACATGACACTCCTATTTTGGAATTTTCAAACTCTTTAAGTCAACTTTCCTTATTACTCCCTATCATATTTAGATTAGCACCTACGGAGGTTTCCTCCTAGGATTGATACGTATGTACTACGTATCATTTTAGGAATCTTGTTTTTAAGCATTATATTATATATATATGGGAAAATAGCCCCAAATAGGACTAAATTAATGCTGAAATTCCAAAATAGGAGTAGTATAATTTTATTCCCTAAATAGGACTTTTCTTCCAATTTTATCCCTAATCATTTAAACCCATCTCACACCCTACCTGTCATTTTATTTGCACATCGATCTCAATTCAACCTGGCCGCATCTTTGTGCGCAGCAGATTGCTTGGCCTCAACCACGAGCAGCAGCAAGCCCCGGCGGAAGCAGCAACGTGCACCGACTAGCGGCGGCAACGTGCGCCGGCGAGCAGCGGCAGCAACCACCAGATCTCCTCTTCCTCTTACTCCTCTGTTTCTTCAAATTTTCCGTCTGGATCTGGTGTAGTGGTGATGCTAGGCTCCGAGTTCTTTTTCTCTCTTCTCATTTGGAATTTTTAATTGCTCTTGAAGGATGCAAACGGGGTTTTTAATTAGGTTGTTAAAATTTCCAAATTTTTTAAAAATGCCATAATATTGGCATTTTTACTCTTTAAAAATTTCGTATTTTTCTTACAAAATGCCATTAAAATGGCAATTTCGATTTATGTTGGCATTCTATTCAAAATTTTGGCATCAGTGGTGGCGTCCGTCGGATCTGTGGTAGCAGCAGCCGGATCGGCGGCTGGATCTGCAGGGTCGGCGGTCGATGGTCAATAGAGGACAGATCTGCTTCGATCTAGGAAGATGGCGGCCAGATCTACGACGGCGATCAACAGATCTGCAACAGCGGCTAGTTTTGAGGTTGCGGCGGCTGAAGACGGCATCCGAGACCGGCGGTGGGCGGAGGCGGCCGGCGGTGGCTGGAGGCGGCCGCATGTGTCTGGAGGCAGCTGGTCATGCTCTTTGTCGGTGGGAGTCCGTTTGTCAAGCTTCCGGGGGTATTTTTGTGAGGCTACAAATAATAACTCCTATTTTGGGAATTTTTATACTTTAATCCTATTTTGGCAATTAAGAATATAATCACTCTCATTTAGGTAAATCTCCCTATATATATATATTCAATCGATTACATTCCTATTGTTTCTTCGCTTTTAGAAGGACTCGATCACCACATAGACATACCTACATAAGTCACCGTGCATGAATTGAAGCAGCCTATAGCCAAGTAAAATTAAAAAACAAACATGGTGTCTACCAAAACCATTCTACAATCGGCGGCATCAGTGGCGGCGTCGGCAGTGATGGTCCGGTCGCTGGCCCGGGACTTATTGCCCAGCGAGTTCCACGACCGTGTCCTGTCACACGTCAACGTCCTCCTCAAGTCCTTCTCTCCCACCATGGAATTAGTCATCCAAGAGCTCACAGAGGGTGGCAAAAACCAAATGTACGAGGCGGCCGAGTCGTATCTGGGGAGACGCCACGGTCTGTCCGACTCAGCCGCCTCCTACCGCTTATGCGTCGCCCTCCCGAAGGACGAGGCTAAGATCTCTACCACCATAGACAAAGACCAGCAAGTCATTGATCGTTTCAACGGCGCCACCTTCACATGGACTAAAAGCACTGCGAAGAGAAGGAGTGATGATGAATATTACTCCAGCTCAGAAGTAGAGTGCTCCCCATTCTTCACCCTCAGCTTTCACAAAAAACACAAGAAGATGGTGTTTGATGCCTACTTCCCTTTTATTTTGGCCGAGTCAGTCAAAGGCAAACTCGAGCAAAAGACTCCCAAGCTCTTCTCCATGAAACTAGATCATGGCTACTCTTATAGTATGAATGGTGCTGATAAGAATTGGAAGTTCGTCAAGCTGGACCATCCTTCCACCTTTCAAACCCTGGCTATGGATACGGAGTTGAAGATATCCATTATGGAAGATCTTGATAGGTATGTCTCACTAAGGATGCTTTTAATTGGATAGAAATTCCTGGTTTACTATGATAAATGTCTAGTCTCTCTATATATTTATAAATATCGAAGTCTGGTCTTGTTTGATCTATTTAAATCGAATAATAGGAAATACAATTATAAGAATTTAATCACAACACATCATCTTTCTTTACAAATACATTACTCCACACCTAAAGTCCTCTACCCACACACATCTTTGTATACATACATACAGACATACATATTTGCAAAATGTTTTATTTCATTAATAAACTGATTTTTCTACAATCGCGAACTATTGACCATCTGAAAGCACTCCCCCGCATTTTTAGCACTTCAGGGGCGGAGCCAGGACACTGGGCCGGACTAGGCCGATACAAAGAATATTTTTGGAAAAAATTTTACACAGATTTCTTTACACTAAAAATTTAGACATTTTTAAAATTTGAGTTGGCCCTCCCCTAGCTCCGCCCCTGACTGAATTTTTATATACTGTATGTATTTTAAATACAAACACAAATATTGACATTGTAACTTCCATGTGTACATTTATAGGTTTGTGAGGAGAAGAGAGTATTACAGGAAAGTTGGGAAAGCTTGGAAAAGAGGGTATTTGCTGTATGGTCCACCGGGGACGGGGAAATCAAGCTTGATCGCAGCCATGGCTAACTACCTTGAGTTTGACATATATGATCTTGATCTGACTGCTGTCCGTACCAACTGTGAACTGAAGAACATTCTTCTCTCCACTGGGAATAGATCTATACTAGTTGTGGAAGATATTGATTGCAGTGGTACTATCACTAACCGAATTGCAAACCAACAAGCCTTATGTAACCCCCCCAAAAAGTCAAAAAACAGAGATGTAAGTCCTCTTTAATATTATTACTATTAATACTATTACTATTATTGTTGTTGCTATTATTATATTTTATTACTCACTACAAAAAAACAGCAAAAAAACAGCGTTTTTGTCACGGAATGTTGTCACGGAATGTTGTCACGGATTACGTCCTTGACAAGTTTGTCACAGATTTTGTAGTTTATATTGATTTGGAGCGAAAAATCAAATAATACATACTACCTCCGTAACTGATATATCTTCCCATGTGAAAAGTAGGTGAGATTAAGAATAGTGATAGGAGATATAAATTATTGAGGGTATGATGGGAAAATAATGAAATAGTGTGTTGGAATGAAGGAAAAATCCAAAAGAAGTAATTGTAATAGTGTATTATTTTTAAAATTATTGAGGGTATGATGGGAAGATTTTGAAATGGGAAGATATGATTGTTACAACTAAAAAGGGAAAGTGGGAAGATATAAGTGTTACGGAGGGAGTAGATGACATTCTATTTTGAAATGAAAGGGAGAGAGTAATATAAAATTTAATCACTGCTTATGATCAATGTTTTCGAGCACAACAACCAAACGAAAACTAACCTCCAATGTTGTATATTCGTTCAACCAGGCAGTGACTTTGTCAGGACTACTAAATTTCATTGACGGGTTGTGGTCGAGCTGCGGGGACGAGAGGATCATCATCTTCACCACAAACCACAAGGAGAGATTGGACCCGGCGCTTTTGAGGCCGGGTCGGATGGATGTGCACATCCACATGTCCTACTGCACACTTGGCGCCTTCTTGACTTTGGCTAAGAACTATTTGGGAATAGAGGAGCATTTGTTGCTTTTCCCAGAGATTGAAAATTTGTTGGAGAAGGCAAAGGTGACCCCTGCAGAGGTCGGTGAGCACTTGCTCAGTAATGAGAATCCTGACCACGCCCTCCAAAGTCTTGTTGAACTTTTAAAAGTGAAAATAATCGAAAATGAAGACCCCAACCAGCAGGCAGAGGGTGAGGCGGCTATGGAACCCTTAATACATTCTGATGACGAGTCTGATGACGTGTCTGATGACGGGTCTGATGACTAAATTTGATGAATGTGTTGAATTATCGAAAATATATATTTAATATAGGTTACATATTTTATAAATAAATTAAAGAAAATATTTTCATGAAAATAACTAATATGATCCTCTACAATTACTCTAGTCAATTCAGCCACAAAAGTAATTCTAAGTTAACTGGATCATTTTAGTTATTTTTTATGCAATTTTTGGTTTCACGTGCTGAATTGTGTAATAATAATAAAAAGTAATGTATGGTAGAATAAACAAAATGGTACTAAAATAAATGAATAGAAACGATATATTTAATAGAAAAAATTGATAGATAAAACGGATAAGCTGAAAACAAGCTTATGATTTATGAATAGATGAAAATCCCAAAGGGTACAAAAATAAATGAATGAAATCTATAGAAAGAAAACAGGATGAAGGATGCATAAGGAAATTATGTAGATGAAGTGCGGAGATCGACTTGATGGGTAGTTATCAGCCTAGAAGTGCTTCACAGCCTAACTTTCACTTGGCGTGTTAACTACTTGTTGATTTGGGACTACAATGCAAATAATCAAACTTAGTATACGGATATAGGAGGGTTGGGTGGCTTCATACGGCTATTTGATTCGCTAAAAAATATTGGGTACCGGTACCTTATTTATTTAAGTAGGTACCATAGAAATATCCTTATTATTAAGTGTGCTTTGTTTGAGCTTTAATATTAATGTACGACTTGGTGTATTGTTATTGGTACTGTTACAGTACTAACTATCTTGAAAGATGTTCTTTATTTCACTTTATTTACCTTTTTATTTTGTTTATATTTAAGTGGCTCTTTTTTGTGAATTGATCGTCTTAATTGCCGTTGTTAAAGGCATGCTATTATTTAATCAACTTACTTGAATGGAGTTTTAACTTCTTTTAGCTTCAAATTATTTTAACAAAACATTTCAAGATATCAACTCCACCATCCATACGGGCAATCCATCTCATAGCTCTAAAGCCTCTAATATACCTTCCACCTCTTTAACTGCACCATCTATAATATATTTTAAAAATATAGATGGTGCAATTAATGAGGTGAGAGGTCTCAGTATAAACTAAAGCAGCAATTTGTGCAGTCACAGGAGTAGCTTATGTGAAGATGCATATACAATAGCACAGCCTTTCTCTTAGTTTGTTCAGATATTGTTAGAACAGTTAGATAGATAGCGTACCATCCCTGTACTATAAATACTGGTTGTTCAAACTTTATATGTGTATGAGATCATTTTCATCTTCTTCCGCTTATCTCTGCTAATATGGTATCAGATGTTCATCATACTTTCTGAAGTTTCCTGATCTCATTTCACCATGGTTACTACTCGATCTTCCTCTGATGGTCTCGAATCCACTCCGGATCATCTTGTAAATCCATCGAATCCGCTGTATCTACATCCAAATGAGAATCCAACTCTGGTTCTTGTTTCAACTCTTCTTACCGAGAAGAACTATCATTCATGGAAACATCAAATGCTCGCAATGCTGGAATCCAAAAACAAACACAGATTTGTTGATGGTTCATTTCCTTCACCATCCATCAGCGATCCTCTCTACGAGCCATGGCGAAGGTGCAACCGGATGGTTATGGCATGGCTCATGAGATCTATGACTTCTCAGATTGCAGAATCAGTTGTATACTTTGACACAGCAACTGCAATTTGGAAGGATCTTTCTGCTCGATTTTCACATGGCAACATGTTTCGTATTGCTGACCTAACTGAGGAGATTCAACAAGTGCGTCAAGGATCTCTTTCGGTAACTCAATATTTCACTACACTCCAGACTTTATGGAAAGAATTAGAACAATACCGCACTGTTTTAATCTGTAAATGTTCTCCAACTTGCTCTTGTGGAATTTTGGAGAAAATTATTAAAGAACGAGAAGATGAATGTACAATCAAATTTCTTAGAGGCTTGAATGAAGATTTTGCTCACACCAGATCACAGATAATGATAATTGCTCCTATGCCTCCTTTAAGCAGAGTTTTTTCTCTAATTCTGCAACATGAAAGGGAATTTGGATCCATTACTTCTCAGAATATTTTCAACACACCTTCATGCAATGCTGTAACTCAACTTCCATCCCAAAATACTCAATATGCTAGAGGTTCCTCTAATATTAGAGGCAATTTTCAGAATAACCGTGGTGGTGGTAGGACTCCTTCCGGTGGAAGAGGCAGAGGGAATCGTTATTGTGAACAATGTGGAAGAACAAATCACACAAAGGATACATGCTTTCAGATATATGGCTATCCTCCAGGCTATAAATCTAAAAACAACAGCACTTCTGCTTCTTCATCTGCTAATATGGCTACCATTGATCCTAATGCAAACTCTCAGTTGTCAAATTCTGCAGGTACACTAGCTTCAGACCAGTTTACTTTATCTCAGGAGCAAATTCAAGGACTTATGGCACTCTTTCAACACTCTCAAATAAATTCTCAACCTGTTTCACATTCTGTCAACCAAGTCCATACCAATTCTTTGGTACTTCCTGGTAAACCATCTCATCTTTACTCTTGGATCATGGATAGTGGTGCTACTGACCACATATGCCCATCCAAAAATCTCTTCTCTTTTTTGAACCCTATTCCCTCTATTCATATAAAACTACCTAATGGTTCATCTGTCACAGCTCAACACTCAGGCACCGTTATTATAGGACAATTAACCCTTCAACATGTCCTATATGTTCCTCAATTTGAGTCTCACCTTGTTTCTATTCCAAAACTAGTTTCTTCTGGTTCATATGTTGTTCTTTTCTCAGAACTGCATTGTTTCATTTTGCAGAAAACATCTTTGAAGATGATTGGACTAGCTAACAAGTTTCAAGGACTATACTGTTTGCATTCCAAAAATAATGTAACTTTTTCTTCTTGTAATGTTTCTGCTGTTATTCCCAATGTAATCAATAAAACTACAACAGGACACACAGTTCCTGATTGTTCATCTCTAGCTTGGCATTTGAGACTTGGACATGTATCAAATACTGTTCTCAAAGAATTATCACATCAATACAATGACATTCCTTTTTCTTCTTTTCATAATTGTGATATTTGTCATTTCTCACGTCAAAAGAGAATTCCATATCCTGTTAGCCGTACCACTTCTACACATTTTTTTCAAAGAATCCATGTGGATATCTGGGGTCCATTAACAACCACATCTATCGATGGTTATAGATATTTTTTAACCATAGTAGATGACTTTAGCAGGTTCACTTGGATTCACACTCTCAAACTAAAATCAGATGTCAAATCTCTACTCATACCTTTCATTCTTCTTATTCAAAATCAGTTCAATTGTCATCTGAAACAGCTTAGATCAGACAATGGAAAAGAATTCCTTCTTTCTGAATTCTATCAAACCCATGGAATTCAGCATGAAACTTCCTGTGTTGAATGTCCACAACAGAACTCCATAGTTGAACGAAAACACCAACACATTCTTAATACTACAAGAGCCCTTTTGTTTCAAGCCCAGCTTCCCCACCATTTCTGGTCTTATGCTGTTAGATATGCAACTCACATCATTAACAGATTACCAACACCTCTTCTACATCAAAAATCTCCCTTTGAGGTTATTCATCAATCCAAACCTGATCTTCATTCTTTAAAATCTTTTGGTTGTCTTACCTATTCTAGCACATTAACTTCTGGAAGATCCAAACTGGATAGCAGAGCCAACAAATGCATCTTCCTTGGTTTCAAAACTGGAACCAAAGGATACATCTTATATGACCTTCATCATCACAACATTATCATCTCTAGAAATGTCATATTTTGTGAGAATGATTTTCCTTTCCACAATCTCAATATCACCACCCCCTATCCATACCATTTTGAAGATCACACCTCTGCTTCCCAAAATCAATCTTCCAATAATCTTAACTCACCCTCACTAAATCACTCTCCTAATCAGCCCACCACCAGAACTAGAAAACCTCCTGGTTACCTAAGTTCATACTATTGTGGTTCCACCAAGTCCTCTAATACTACTCCTTATAAACTGGAATCATATCTTGACTTCTCTAAATGTTCCAATAACCACACCACCTTCTGTCATAACATATCCTCTCAGACTGAACCAAAAACCTTTAACCAAGCCATCAAACATGAGTGTTGGAAAACTGCCATGAACAATGAATTGAAAGCTCTGCAAGATAATAACACTTGGTCTTTAGTTAGTCTACCTCCGGGAAAACCAACTGTAGGATGCAAATGGGTCTATAAACTCAAGTTCAAACCTGATGGTTCCATTGATAGACATAAAGCTCGTTTAGTGGCAAAAGGTTTCACTCAGACTGAAGGAGTTGATTTTTTTGAAACCTTCTCTCCTGTTGCCAAACTCACAACTCTCAGATTATTGTTATCCATAGCATGCATGAATAACTGGTATATACAACAATTGGACATAGACAATGCTTTTCTGCATGGTAGTCTTTGTGAAGAAGTTTATATGCGGCCACCACCAGGTCTGCATTTACCCAAGCCTGACTTAGTATGCAAGCTTCAGAAATCTCTTTATGGACTCAAACAGGCAAGTCGTCAATGGAATCAAAAACTTACTCATGCACTCATTCATACTGGCTACACACAAAGTTCTGCAGATTATTCCTTATTCATCAGAAAATCTGATTCTCAATTCACAGCAATTTTAGTCTATGTAGATGACATCATAGTTGCTGGCAATAACTCAAATGAAATAACCAGAGTCAAAACATATTTACATAATGAGTTTCACATTAAAGATCTTGGGAATCTCAAGTATTTTCTTGGACTGGAAGTAGCTCGCTCCAAAGCAGGTTTACTTATCAATCAACGAAAATACTGTCTAGAACTCATTGATGAGTTTGGTCTCACAGGGTGTAAACCAGCTCCTACACCAATTGATCCCTCACACAAGTTGACTTCAGACTCTGGCATTCCATTAGACAATCCTACATCTTTTAGAAGACTGATTGGCAGACTCATATACCTGACCAATACAAGACCTGATATCTCATTTGCAGTACAACACCTCAGTCAATTTGTTTCAGATCCCAGGGATACACATTTCAATGCTGCATTAAGAATTCTCAGATATCTCAAAAACTCTCCAGGACGTGGTCTGTTCTATTCATCTTCCAATACTTTCACTATCCAGGCTTTCTCTGATTCAGATTGGGCCACATGCCCTAACACTAGAAAATCCATTACAGGATTCTGCATATTCCTTGGAAGCTCTCTCATATCATGGAAATCCAAGAAGCAAAGCACAGTCTCAAGATCATCCTCTGAAGCTGAAGCAATGGGAGTTCGGTTTGCTGCCACTGCCACAACTTAGGATGGCCAGGAATGTGTGAAATATGAATGCGATGCTTTAACGGTTGTGCAAGGAGTATTGGGTGAAAGGGCTTTCTTATTTTCATCTGCGGATATTCTATGTCTTTTCAAAACAAAGAGAAAGTTTAGTCTTTATTTTTGTAAGCGGTTCATGAATCTATACATAGCTTATGCTTTAGCTAGGCAATGCGTGTTACGACAGTACTACCGGACCACGAAAGTAGTTTTGATGTTGTCAGCCAGTTCACGATTATTGGGGGGTAAACAAAGTACAAGATATATGGATGAAAAAACAAAACTAGGAACAGAAATAAATAAGCATATCAAAGGAGCTAGAGATAAAAATCCTAAATAAACGCCAACTCAAAGTGCAACTAGAGCAGTCCTCCCTATACAAACTCATAGCTAAATCAAAGCTATTGAGCTCCATACGTGATTGGGATCTCGTCTGACATGTGATCAATAATATGATTGATACGTTTGTAATTTCCGTATGTTTATTTACGTTTTTAGTTAGTTTTGGTTGTTTAATATTTCGGAAATTACACACTTTCGGTGTAATAGTTTAGTTTGTTAAATTCTTGTAAATTGTTTAGATTAGGTTTATTCTGAGCTTAAACAGGTCCAAGATCAATCAAATGATCAATGGTGAAGGAAGGTGCAAGATTACAAGACAAAAAGAAGGAAAGTTCCTGATTTTGACCTATACTCGATCGAGTATACCTTATACTCGATCGAGTACCAATACTGATTTTCAAGGATCCGATCCGGGAACAAATGAACATGCAAGGAAAGATTTGGCCACGTTCTATTGTCATACCCGATCGAGTACACCGACATACTCGATCGGGTATAGCTATAAATTATACCCGAATATCGATCGAGTATGGATCGAATTCGAAGTTCTACACATACTCGATCGAGTATATGTACATACTCGATCGAGTACTCGACCTGCACCTCAAAAAGCCTATAAATACACCTCCTTTCCTTCACTTTTAGAGACCAATTCCTTTATACTCTTAAGCTCAGTTTAGAATAGCATTTCTCTATATTTCTTTTAGCATGTTTAGTCTCCAAATGAGGAACTAAACTTCCATTTCTTGGTATTGCTCTTGAAGCTTGTTGATTATTAAAGTTGTGAGTTATTTTCTTAACTTCTTTTCCTTGAATATTAATTCTTCCTTTAAATACTATTTCTATATCAATGTTGGGGAGTATTACTAAGATGACAATTAGTTAACATCTTGACATTGATTTTAGTAATAGCTATTCCTTCCTCTGTGTTAATATCGGGGAGTGTTACTAGCTAAGATGACAATTAGTTAACATCTTGATATTTAACTATAGTAGGATTCATTCCCTTTAATATTCTTCCTTGAGTATTAATTAATTCCTATTCATATTTCATATTAATATTTTGAACATTACTTAAAGGAACAACTAGTTTTGTTTCATATATTAATTATTACTAGAAATGATCAACGAACCGATGGTTAATCGTTGATAGTTTCACAAGTAAGTAACTTCGGTTTATTAATGCACGGTCGTGGTTAATACACTTAAGAGGGATTAATTTTGTTGGTTAAACCGAAACCGTTGTGTTAAGGTTATCAATCTCAATTGATTTCATCAAGGAGTTAAAAGATTAAATGCTACTATCAAGTCGGTATATGGTGTTGTTCTATACTTGACTAACAGTAAGAGTTATTAATGAACGGTCGTTGTTAATAACTATCCTTGATGAATTGGATATACTCCTCGATTGAGTATTCGAGAGGAGATAAGTTATAGATATAACAATGATCGACTAAAATATATCAACAAGTGGAAAATAGCAATGCCAAGTCACTTTTATCTTTGAATTAAATCCCATATAACTCGTTCATCTTCGTGTTTAATTTAATTAAATCACTCAACAATCAAAACCCCCCTTTACTTACTATTTATATAAAAAGAAAGTTATTCCTTTCCCTGTGGATACGAACTCTACTTCACCTATACTACGTATAAGTGCTAGTATTGAATTTATTTTGAGTGCACTCACGACAAAGTGCACGTCAATGATCCTTTTTCCTGTAATTGTTTTGACTTGAATGTTTAAGTTCCCGTATGCAAGCAATTTTCTTTTGTAACCAACTGAACTTTTTTACAAATATCTTTATAAAAATAGGGTGAGGTACAAAGGTGGAGACATGGGAGGCTGGTTGGGTCTCGCCCCCCAAAAAATATTAGTGATGTGTATACATATCACATACGAGTATGTATAAATATTTAGGATGTTTTCTTTTGGACTGTTTTCAGTCGCAGACCGACCAGACTTTCGTAATTATAAAATACACAGAGACCAGACAAGATCAAACCAGACCAAACCAGACTAGACCAGACTAGATCAGACCAGACCAAATATTAGTTATTTTAGTGTCGGCTTCCTGATTAGCCATATCACGCTCTGCCAATGGTGGGGCAGGGTAAGGAATAACCCTTGACTAGATGTGTTGTTGTGATTTGTGAACCAGTCTAGTAGATGCCAATTGTGTACTTGACACACTATGAGAATGGGTACATAAGTAAATTAACTTAACGTACTCTGTACTTGACACACTATGCCCGTGAACATTTGGTGCGAAGCTTTTTGTGTACTTGGCTTCACTTTATGTTTTCTTTCTCATATGAATTAGGAATGGCACGAAAATCATGTTCACTTCTTCTTTGACCCAATCTTCTTGCTCATTATACCACTTAATTTATATACATAAGTCACACACAATTAATTACTCATCCAAATATCAAGGCTAGCAAAGTATGGTGTCCACGAAAACCATTCTACAAGCCGCGGCATCAGTGGCGGCATCGGCGATGATGGCCCGGAACATATTGCCCTACGAACTCCAGAACCGTGTCCGGTCAAGCGTCATCAACGTCCTCCTCAAGTTCTTCTCTCCCACCATGGAACTAGTCATCCAAGAGCGGACTGACGGTGGCAAAAACCAAATGTACGAGGCGGCTGAGTCGTATCTCGGGAGGCGGCACGGCCTGTCCGACTCATCCGCCTCATACCGCTTACGCGTCGTCCTCCCACAGGACGAGGCTAAGATCTCTACCACCATAGACCAAGGCGAGCAAGTCGTTGACCGTTTCAACGGCGTCTCGTTCACGTGGACTAAAGTCACTGCAAAGCGAAGGAATGGCGATCTCCCTCGCTTTGAAGACTACTCATCGGCTTCCTTCACCCTCACCTTTCACAAGAAACACAAGAAGATGGTGTTTGACGCCTACTTCCCTTTCATATTGGCCGAGTCAGTCAAAGGCAAACTCGAGCAAAAGACTCCCAAGCTCTTCTCCATGAGACTAGATCATGGATTGGGCTACTCTTATAATAGTCGTTCTGATCATAATAAGTGGAAGTTCGTCAAGCTTGACCATCCTTCCACCTTTCAGACACTAGCTATGGATACCGAGTTGAAGACATCCATTATGGAAGATCTTGATAGGTATGTTTCATTAAACATTGGTCAACCTATCTTATTTAGTCACTATCTACAAATTAAAAACACTTTTGATAATTTTTGTGGTTGGTGCGCGCTATTTATTTCGTTTTTCTACTGACAAATTCAATTATAAATCCATAATTTGAGATCAAATGAAAAATCGGCTTAATGCAAAAAGTCGATGACTATGGTGCATTAGATTTAATTTGACAATGGTTCACTAGCTACCGGAGTATAGTTTGTGCAACCGCAAACTATTAACTATGCATTATTTGAAAGCACCACCCTACATGGACGTGAATGCGATTTCTTACATATCACCCATTTTTGGGCATACAATATGAACACCAATGTTTACGATGTACTAATGACTTTCATTTTTACATTTATAGGTTTGTGAGGAGAAGAGAGTATTATAGGAAAGTTGGAAAGGCTTGGAAAAGAGGGTATCTGCTTTACGGCCCACCAGGAACGGGAAAATCAAGCTTGATAGCAGCCATAGCTAACTACCTCGAGTTTGACATATATGATCTCGAGCTGATCGACTGGTGTCTTTAGCAATTCTGATTTGAAAAGCATTCTTCTCTCAACAGGGAACAGATCTATACTAGTTGTGGAAGACATTGATTGCAGTCTTGACATCACTGACCGAATCACAAACAAACTAGCTCTCTCTAACCCTGCCAAAAAGTCATCAAAAGACAGAAATGTAAGTCCTCTTTTTATAGCTCTCACCCCTTGTTATTACTATTTGCAATGTTGTTTTTATATTCTACTCTTTTCGTCCTAAATTGAGTTTCATAATAGACTCTTTTGAGTCAAATAGATTCAATTTATTCGCTTTATTAGTATATATCGATTCTCAATTAAATTTTAATTTGAAATGACTTATTTGTTATTATCAATTGGCTTTAATAATTGTTTATGATCAATGTTGTCCAGCACAACAACCTTACTAAAACTAACCTATAATGTTGTATGTGAATTCAAGCAGGCCCTGACTTTGTCAGGACTACTGAACTTCATTGACGGGTTGTGGTCGAGCTGCGGGGATGAGAGGATCATCATCTTCACCACAAACCACAAGGAAAGATTGGACCCAGCCCTTTTGAGGCCGGGTCGGATGGATGTGCACATCCACATGTCCTATTGCACGTTTGACGCCTTCTTGACTTTGGCGAATAACTATTTGGGAATTGATGAACATTTTTTGCTTTTCCCAGAGATTCAAAACCTGTTGGAGAAGGCAAAGGTGACCCCTGCCGAGGTGGGTGAGCACTTGCTGAGGAATGAAAACCCTGATCACGCCCTCGTAAGTGTTGTTGACCTTCTCAAAACGAAAATAGCCGAAGAAAATGATAATGAAAACCCTAATTAACCACACCTAGGAAGGGTGAGGCAGCTATGGAACCCTTGTTACTTTCTGATGACGACTCCCATGATCCCATTAATCATTGTTAAGCATGCTTTGTTTTAGTTTTAATATAATACTTGGTGTACTCATGTTTTTGTGAATTGATTCTCTTGTAGTACGTTGTTAATGACATGCTATTGATTAATCAACTTATTAGTTGATTGCGGGTTTTAATTTCTTTTCGTGTTAAATAATTTTAACAAAATGTATTGAGGTATTGAACTGTGGACATTAAAAAGGGAAAATATCAGAAATAGACAAAAAGTGAAAACTATATCACTCTTTTCACCGCTTAAAACTTTTTTCAAATATAGGCTCGTTTAACTTTTCTTTTCAAAAGTAGTCAATTGATTGACCTGAGCCTCATGCGGAAGCTACTCAAAGGTGTATGTTGGTTTTACGAAGTACGGAGTCTGATTTGCTTAGCTACTCCCATCAGTGCTACGTTTAAAATGAAAGCAAGTTTCCCTCATAAATAATTAATAAAAATTGTTGAAAGTGCTCAATTTTGAATATATATATATATATATATATATATATATATATATATATATATATATATGTAAAAATCTAATAAAAGGTAAAAACGATGAAAGCAATTAGAGAAATAATAAAATTCTAAAAATAAAATAATTATAGACCAATATAAAAATTCGAAAAATGTTTAAAATATCAAAATTGAAAACTTGTGACTTAAAATTTTAAAAATATAAAGAGAAATTTAAATTTTAAAAATATGAAAATATAAAAAAAGTATGGAAAATTTAGAAATACAAAACACGGAAATAAAAATGTAAACATAAAATATTTAGGAATGCGAGGAATTTTATAAAATATATATAATATATGTTTTATTCCTGTAATGATTTAAAAAAGAATATACTTGATATAAAAATATAAAATTTTCAAAAATTATATAAAAAATCAAGATCTAATAAAAATTTAAAATTGTTCAAAACAATTTCAAAGCGAAAAATTGTTGAAACAATATATAAAATAAGAATATTTTTTTGAAATTATTGTAACATGTAAAAAGATATTAGAAAGTTTAATGTACGAGTACATTTTTTAAACCAGAATTAATACAAAGTAAATTATTTAAAAAACAAGTAAATATATAATTTTGAAACAATTATGAAAAACAAATATAAAAAATAGAATAAAGTCAAAACCATTTTTTAGAGATTTATAAAAAATAAAAAAAAAATTATGTTTTACTAAAAAGCATGTAAAATATAAAAACTCGAAAATAAAAAATGTGTATTAAAAAAGGAAAAATTAAAATACATGAAATTTGTAACATAGTTCTTCATAAATAGATAGAAAATTTAATTACCATTTTATTGTTTCTTTTTGTCACACATGTTTTCTTGGTGTTTCTTTTTGTTGATCACTTCGAAACTTTTGTTTTTTACTATAAATTGTTTTGTTGCATGTGGTTGATATGTGTTTCTTTTTGTTGCATATTTTGCACATTTTGTTTTTTATTGTTTATTCTTGTTTCTTGTGGTTGTTTATTTTAAAAAATGCAAACATTTTCAATTTATATGTTTTTTACACACATACACATACACATACACATACAAAAATATTATATATATAAGTACATTAATAAGCTACGATCGAATACAGGAAACTTCAATATAAAATAAGCTCAAATTTCCAAGTAATTGCTATAAAGTCTGATCAAATTAAATCATTTCGGGCTTGAAGGAGAACCGTATCATATTCACGAGCAAATGTCCTTGTCAAGCAGCAAAAAACCATAACAAACCTAGCTCCAAAAACTTGAAGCAACTTTTTTTGAGTCACTTGAAGAACTAAAATCATTTAAAGGCACTATTGTACTTAACCAGACACTAAAAAAAAAGGAACTTGTGGTTAGTTCAACTAAAATATAACTAAAACAATCTTTCTAATATTTGAAGTTCACTCCATGAAAGAGCTTCTAGCATCTTATCTAGTAGAGGGTGAAACATATCCTTACAGTAGCTGTTAGTGATGGCCTTGCAAGAGAAAAGACATGCGTTACATAGACATGTCCTTCACTTGTCACAACCCATTACATCCTGAACTTGTTCTGCATGAAAGACTTCAATCTATGAGTTGAAGTATAAATGAATTTGCTCTATCAATATCACAAATCAGTAGACTGACCTGTACTCCACAACTAATTGAAATAGTCTTTCTCAAGTTTATTGCTATTGCTAGTAACCATCATCAATTTTAGCTTCATAGTAATCAGCTCCATTTCTCTCATCAGTTTCCTTTGTGCCAAATTCACTATTTACAGTAGATCGAATCTCTCCGCTCTCTTTCCGTTTTCCATTTCTCAATCTTTGCCCTTCTCTCAGCATTGCCTTCCATATACGGGCTTCTATTTCTCCTGCTCATAGGACTTCTGCTTTGTCCACATCTTCTTCCAGGACTTCTGCTTCTAGGTCTATCTCCTCTCTTGGTGATGATGATCACCCCTCTCATCAGAATGAAGTTGCTTGATGAAAAATCAGATCTTCTTGGCATCTGCCAGTACTAGTACCAGGAACCATATGTAACCATTACACTCAAATGCATATAACATAAATCCATGAGTCAAATTAATATATACAGAAGTAATTTTTTATTAAGCCCAAATAACTATATTTATAAAGTCATTTTATACTAAAGGAATTCAAAAAACAAATGGGAGAAACATAAGTAAACAAAAAACAACAATATTAAAAACCAATCATTGAAAGTGATCAACAAAAATCAACAAAAAAGCAACACGGTGAAACAAAAAGCAACAAAAAAACACTTCATAATATGTACTTTCCTTGTGTGTGATATAATATGGAGGGGAAAAGGAGAAAAATTATCAATGTCGAGATATGTAAATTATTAATATATACTCATTAACAATCAATGCTACAATTTACATGCGTGCATTATAGCTGAAATTATTAGCCTAGTAGGATGAGTGCCAATAAAATTTATCAACACCGAGATCCTACGATTATGAGACTAGCCAAAAATACTAAAATAAGAGCAGACCTTTCAATACTAATTAAACAAAGAGATTTTAATGATTAATAGAAGAATAGTGAAGAAAATTGGAAGGTCAATTCACTTGATCTAGTGGTGGAGTTTATCTTCAATTTTCCTAACTTTCAAAGAAGCAGAGATACAACAATTGTCATTGGAGTTTATCTCCCAAGTACCAAATATTGAATTTGGCATAGGATAACTACTTAGCTCGATCTGATGAAGCTAGGTTTTGAAGAGAAGAAAGTTAAGACTGATGCGATGAAAATTGGCCCATACGGTTAAATTTGTGTGGTTTGTAAAGAAGTCGTCATCACATACTAGATCTGAATTCCAACATATTTGAGAAGCATTCAAAACAATAAAGCTTTACCTCTTTTCTCAGAAGCATAGTACTCAGCTACAGTGTTAATTAGGAGCTCGATCTACTCTTAGTTTGAGCCTAAAGACCACCAATATGATTGCACGACTGATTGATGATGTTGGGGCGAGGAATCCGACACACCTTCATCGGAGATGTCCAATCCCGTCCACATGGGACCATTCCCTAAGAAGAGAGTTGGAAGTCACGGATCGATCTATCGGTCGGCTCTCTCATACTTTCCACCGACGCGACAATGAGATCTCCGCCGGCTCTCTCAAAATTTTCAACGACACAGCCATGAGATCTCTGTCGGCTCTCTCAGATTTTCACCGGTGCGGCAAAGAATGCCGATCAGGAAGCTGCTCTGCATCTCTCCCCTGTGAAAGTACGCTACTTAAGGAAGCGGTTAGCAAGGCTACCTAAAAGGCTAAAAGTGAAATAACAAAACTAAAATTGAAAATATAAAAGTTAAAAATGAAAAGAAAAGGCAGTCGGGTCATAAATGATATTTGGTACACAAAAGTGGACCATGCGGGTAATTAGCACCATTAAAAAAAATATTGGGTCACTTGTGATAGTTACTGGGCTATTATCCAGGTTATTGGCCGGCCTCTTATAGAGTCAAAGTTGGATTCTAGTGGACTGCTCGAGAATGATACCCGTCTTATCAAAAGGAAAATATTAATATATGTGGTTCCGTTCGAATAAAATTTAGTGATTAAATTAATTTGGATCATTTAAAATATCCAATTAATTTAATTATAAATTAATTTCTTAAAAGAATGGACCAGACCTATTAATTTCTCCATTTTGAGCCCAGTGAATAAGAGACATGATCCAACTTATGAAGAGGACAACGAATGGAAAATGGTTGTGAAGCTTGCTAAGAAAGCTTGTAGTACATTGTGGGATCTCCACTCATAGGTTGGGTTGCTACAGTAGATGATGAATACTTATTGGGTTTTAGTCTCATTCCTAGACTTGATTTTATCACTTGAAAGCTTAGACAGCTTTGACGACGATGAATCAAGCTCAAGAAGCATGGGAGAGAAGAAAAAGTACCGATGAAAAAAAACCTTCAAGTTGAAGTTATTTGTAATGTTGTTTGTTTATTTATCAGTACTAATGATTTGTATCAGTATTGATTTGAATTATCAGTAATGATGGTTGTTAAATTTAATAAATAAATACGCGTGTTTCATACTTTTCAATTTGATGAAACAAGAAGATATACTTTTTTGTATTCTTTATTTTCGAAACAATACATTTAATATAATTATAACAAAAAAATCGAATTATAAAAATTTAAATAACTTTCGTGCAAAAGTCCCCCCCCCCCCCCCCCCAAATAATTTGATTTGGTTGACAATTAAAAAAAACAGAGAATACGAACAATTTTGGAGTGAATTATATTTTGTTAATTAAAAAAATAGATAACTATTTTTTACTAGAATATAATAAAAACAATTCGTAGAGAGTTTTCGGTATTTTCTTGAAAAATTATAGTGAAGGCTTTCGAACCTAATTATTTTTGAGTAAAATTAAATTATTTGGGAGTTGAATTATACAAAATCCATGGAAAAATTGACTTAATATAATGATGAAGAAAAATAAAAAAAATCGAAATCTCAGTAGGAAAAATCAAATTATCGATCAGTTAACAATTTCTAAGTAATTTCATCAAAATTAGATTTAAAACATATTAATTAGAAGAGGAACATTATCGCAATTACAAATTACCTGCACAAATTAAAAATACAATTAATCGCTATTGTTTTAAACTATTTT